TTTCACAGTTGGGGATGTGATGAGAAAGGGGCAACTGAAGCAGCCTGAAAAAGAGACCCAGGCCACTGTCCTGACTTAGGCCCATTGCCCAGCCACCAGAGGCTATATTTTTCTTGTGAAAGAGAATGAGATCTAGAGGAGAAAATAAGAAGATGAGAGCATTCCAGATGGCAGGAGGGAATGGTCATGATGGGAAAAGTGGAGTTGGCAGGGAAGGGAGCTGCAGGCCTGAATTTCTCCCCTTGGTGAACACATCTCTCTGAGGCCAAGTTGGGCTGCAGAGCTCAGGCACAGAATGCTAAGCCAGGAGAGAGTCCCTGGCCACCCAGCTCTCTCTCTTCTCTTGAATCCTAGCCACTAGTCTGCCAAGGGCTGAACTGTAAACAAGGCTTGGAGGCTGGATAGGGAGAGCAGGTGCGGGCAGGAGCTGTTGAGACTATCCCAACAAGTAGCTACTTCCAGCAGCCAAAGACCCAGGGCTCAAACAGTGGCACTCTGGGGGGATGTTTGGCAGGCAGTGACTGCACAGGACTCTGGGCAAAGCCTCCTGAAGCCAAACGAGTGCTTACTTGGCTGGCTGACTGTGCCATTTCCCTCTTCTCTGTGAGGCTATCAGGCATGGATGGCCTGGACTACAAGCCTGGGATGCCCCCAACTCCTGACTTTGGTCAAACAGCTGGAGAATCTCAGAGTTGGCAGGGATCTTGAGCGTTATTTACTTCACTGTTGTCCACCCTCTATTGACATCCAGAAGTAGCAGGGGAAGGCTTTCTAGAGGAGGACTGCAGCTGGGTACTACAGAAGGGGCCAGATTTGGGCAAGTAGAGAGGGAGAGCACTGAGAACAGGCCCAGAGACAGAAAGGGAGCAGAAGGGATGTGGCAGGAGGCATGAAAACAACAGCCTGAGTTGGGGGTGAGGGGGAGGGGCTGTTGAAGAGAGGTTAGCTGGGAAACAAGAAGCTGGAGCCAGCCCAGGGAGACAGTGAGTGAACCTTTTCTCAGCTTCCTCTTCTCATGTCTGGCTCTGCTAGGGCATAAGGTCCTCTTCCCAGTACCCCCCCTTGGTGAGCTTGTGAGGAGAAAGGCAGGCCAGTCTAGTCATAGCTGGACAGAGACAGAAACATCTATCCCGCTGTTTTGCCTAGATGCCCATTTCCCCCTCCTTGCCTGAGATCATGCAAGTATTATCTGAAGCCTAGGCACCATGCTGACCTCCTGTGAGGGTGCAAACAGGAGCAACCCTCAGCTTCTGCCCTGTGCACCATCTCCAAGCTGTCCATCCAAGAGTTGGGGCAGGGCAGAGATCAGGCTAAGAAGCAACTCAACAAAAGAGGTTATGTGAGCAGAGGTCTGGTAAACTCATGTCACCCCATCTGGAGGTATTCAGAGATGCCAACTACACCCTGAGGACAAAGAGACACCTTCTATTCTGCCCAATTGCATCTTCCTGCTGAGAATGAGGAAGGAATTATAAGGTGTTTTCTAAAGAAAAGATAAGATCCTATGGGATCAGGAAAGGGGGAGCAAGGTTGATGAACCCTCCCCCTAGGAATAAAAGCCAAGGGCAAGAGCAGGTGCTGAGTTACTATCTCAGAGGGCATGAGTTAGTACCCAAACACTCATGGTGCTAGTTAGGACTACCTGTCTGTTTCCTGAAAGTGAATAGCATTAAAATTGTTAACTTCAAAGGGCCTGTGGCCTTGTGTTTAGATAAGGATGGGGGTGAGGGTGGTAAGAAGACTGAATCTTACTCTGCAACTAGGCTGGGGAGAGACAGGATTTAAAGGGATCTTGACAACCTACAGACTCCTTAGTCAGCAACACAGATTCAAAAATTAACCCCAGACTTAACTCACTAAGGTAAGAAAAGCAGATCCAGGGCTTTTAGAAAGAACCAAAAAGGGTAAGAAAAAATGATCCCCCTCCCCCCAATCCTTAGTTTCCCAGAACATTCTATTAACCAGAAAAGCCCTTCCCCAAACATTCAGGTTTTTGCATTACAGTAATTATATTTTTTTTCAGTGATTAAAACCCACAGAGCTGGGACTCTTCCAGAATAATGCAAGCTCTGTTCCCATCTTCCTTCTTGTAAGGGGAACAAACAGGATAGTACCTTGTTGTGAGTCACAGCCTCATTCCAGCAGCTTTTAGATTGCATTCATTCATATATGCAACAAAATTTAACTACGCATCTACTATGTACCAGATACAGTGCTGGATACTCAAGATATGAAGGTAAATAGGCCCAGTCTCTCCCTTCAGAGAGGTGCAGTCTGAGGTAGGGGCAAGTATGTAAATAGACAAATATAAAACCATGTGTCAACTGGCACCAAAAGAGGCAGCAGAGGATGCTATGGGAGCACAGGGGGAGGGCCTGTCTCCTGCCCCCCATGACTCCCAGAAGCAGTGTTGAAGAGAACAGAAGTCCAGCAGCTAGAAGGCAGAGAAGGACATTCCAGTAAAGGAATGTCAAATATGACAGCAAAAATAAAGAAGATTCCGTAAAGAGGGAAACCTCTAGGTATTAAGCCACTGAAATCAAAAGAAGAAATCATAGAACACATTCAGGGATCATTTAAGGAAAACTTTCATTTCTGGCTGCAGGAGTGAGGACAGAGTAATGAGTTAGCCACTGGCCCCTTTGTGTGGCCGTGTGAGATAATGCAATGCACTTGGTGAACTCAGAAGAGGCTACAGAGATAACCAGGGACACAGCTCAGCACTGGGCTTACCAGTCACACATCCTATGCACCACTCAAAAGTTACACATGGAAAGCCCCCTCTCACATCACAGAAAGAGGCAGGAAGGGTAGACGACCAGCAGATGCACTGAGATCCAGCCATGGCAATGAAGACCAAACCAAGAAGCTCACATGCCGCGGGTTATGCCCACATTGAAGAGAATCCATGGAAGCCAGCTCTATGACAGCGTTAGGGCAAACAGTGGGAAGTTACAAACAACCCTACTGCAGTATCAAATGTGAGCAGGAAGATCCCCTGGGGACATAGCCACATTCACAGGGGCCAGCCTGAAGAAAGAAGGGGTGAAAATCAATAGACACAACAATACTACTAATGTATCAGCTGCAGTTCCTGCTCCTGAAGTCCTGGCCAAGAAAAAAGCCCCCTCCTCCTCCCCAGGAGGTGGAAAGATGGCTTTGCTCCGCATTGCAAGGCTCTACAAACTTTTTAGAAAGCAATTCCTAACAGGGATACTCACATAGAACCATAATGACAGGTTAACAACTAAATGCCAGCAGACCAGACACTTGTCTAATTAATAAAACTTATAAAGCAGAACAACTTACTGATGTTACAGGCAGGGCATTTAGTACAACAACAAAACCCAAATTCATGCAGAATACTCCATGTTCTCTAGGAAGCCCTTTCTCTTACAATCTGCACAATTCCTTCTTTAATGCAAATGGATGCCAAGGAAAGGAGAAAACAGTGCAGAGCTCCAGGCTCCTGGAGCCCAACTGGGGAAGGCAATAGCTCAATCTCTGCCTCTTGAGCCAATCTGCCAAGGTTAGTTCCGACCTGGGCTTTACTAGATCTGGGCTACAATCCCAATTCTGGTAAGTTATTTAACCTTTTGGGCCTCAGTTCCCTCATCTATAAAATGGGACTCTCTATGTCACCTACTTCAAAGCACATAGAGATTAAATATGCAATGTTAAGTGCTCAATCAATAATGACTATTAGCAATTATTATTATCATTGTTCTGTTTAGATACCTACTAATAATAGGACCTGCTGTCTTAATCTAGCCCACAGGGTTTGCCTTTCTCCGCAAAATGTAATGGGGATGATTTGAAAATTGGTTCAAATTTCTTTGGATCTTGGGCCAAGACTTTAGACTTACAAAATAAAATAAGTTTTGCTGTGGGGAAAGCAAACTCTATTTGTCTACTTCATTAAAGGCAACTTCTTATCCTATTTCTAGTGGTTAACAGCGGGGATGCTGAAGTAAGACTGGGTAGAAATCCCAGCCCTGCTTCTCAGTAGCTGTGAGACCTTGCATTTGTTCACCTCTCAATTTTTACGTCAATTTCCTCATCTGTAAAATGGGGATAATACCAGGATCTACCTCACAGGGTTGTTGTGAATATTAAATATGATAATAATGTATGTAAAGCAGGTAAAACTATGTCTGGCATACAGAAAGCACCGAGTGTATGCCAGATACTGTTCTTACTGTATACAAATTCTTATTATACTAGTAAACTCACCTTTGTGATCTCAGATGCCCCCATCGCTTGAATTTTACACAGCATAAGAAAAGAAAGTGACAGGTATGCACCTGCATATTCCCACTTGCCAAGGTTTTCATTTTTCTTTTTCTTTTCTTTTTAAATAGGGTGGGCTTGTTTCTCAGCCCAGGGAACGCTGACGCATGCATGTGAAGGCAGGCCAGCCAGGGTGCCACAGACCTAGAGAGGCTAAGGCACTGGGAGAAGGTACCTAGAAGGCCCCCTCCCCCTTTCAACACCGGCTTCCCTGCTGGAGATGAGGTGGGGGGTGGGGGAGGGCATGCGGGGGCCAGCAGGGCCTGCTAGGGCTGGTGAGCCTAGCCAAGCTGGCTGTCACCTGTACTGCCCTCCAGGCTTCCAGCTTTCCTCGCTGCTCCCTCACCCCGCTACTTTCCTATCGGCATACAAAACCTCAGCCCTGCTCATCTTGCCTTCCAGTTTCCTCTCCAGAAGCACCAGGTAGGGACGGCCAGAAGGGCTCTTTGGGGGATGGAGGGGGGGGTAGGAAGACATTGTCTCCCCGGTTCCCGAGTCACCAGCTCAGTCCATCCACAGCAGGCGCCAAGCAGGCGCGCACCAGGACCAGAGGCCTGTGCCAGCGCTGCCCTGAGTCACTTTGAGAGGCCGGCAAGGACCTCCACACTTGGTTGCTGACCTCCTACCCCACAGATGCCAGCCTCACTTAGCCACTAGCCCCGCTTTCTAGCCCTTTCCCAGGTGAGCCCAAACCCGACTCTGGTACTTACTGTCGGGGCCTCTCCAGGCCGAGTTCCCCTTGCGCTGCCCCTGGCTGTGCCCAGCGCCGACGGCAGCAGCGGCAGCGGAGCCTGTAGGAAGAGAAAGATCACGCCTGCCTTAGAAACTTAGCCCCTGCTGTGACCAGAATCTTAAGGAAGGAGGCAACTGGCTCAGCCCAGTGCCTCGAAGGAGGTGGCGAACTAGAGAGGCAGCTGGTAAACAGGGCGTCTGCTGCCTCTGCAGGCCCGCAATCCACCGCGGAGGAGCTTCCCCCTCCTCCCTACACTGGACGGCCCCCCGCGGAGGATCCCGCAGCGGAGGAGGGAGGGCTCCAAGGACACAGACTGGCGGATAATCCAGCTACTGGGCATTGTGCTTTACATCCATTTTCTCATCCCAGCATCCTCCCCATTGTACAGAAAACAAAACCAAGGCTCAGGGGAGCAAAGCAAAGAGCCCCAGATACACGAGCCAGTAATAAGAGATAGAGCCAAGATTTGAAACCAGAGGGATCTCAAATTGGCCGCTGCCTGTTAGTTTTGTGCTACCGCAAAAATACATTGGAATACCCGTGTATCCACCTCCTGTTTTCCCATTTTTCTGGCAGGACCAGACACAAGTGGCAACCCCTTGTCAGTGAGGCTGAGATCTGTAGGGTGGAGGTGGAGGTGGGTCCGTGGGATGCACGTGCCAAGCCTTTCAGGAGGCACAAAGTGTAATAGGAGGTAGTCTGGGTCCAGGTGCCATCCAGGAGACAGGCAATGAGCCTGTGAGATCTGGGTTATGGTAGAAGGGTCAAAGGTGGGGTGCAGAGGCTCCTTCCAGGTACTTGAGTGAGGCCCCTCATCACCCTCTTTAAAGGATGAGTGGAAGGCAGCTTTGTTGGGAAATTAAGTCCTGTGGCTTCTCTGTGGGAGCTATCTCAACCTCCCTGCTTTGACAATGATATCTGTGAAATGGGTAAGATCTTTTCTTCTTTTCTGGTCAAAGTGATGAAATAATGGAATATTCCTGCCTTTTTCTTCTGGTCATAAAATAAAAGAGAAGTTTTAGGACTTGTATTCTTCCTGCCTTGCCCCCGCTTATCCATTTATTTATTCATTTAGTAAATATTTATTAACATCTACTAATGCTAGGCATAGTGCTAGGTGCTGGGCACCACCGTGGTTCTGTGTGGGAGTCTACATGTGAGGTGGCAAGCACACAGGGCTGGAAATTAGGAAACACATATTAAGTTCTAATTCTTTGACTAAATAGCTAAGTGATCCTGGATGAGTCATGTCTCCTTTTGGGACCTCAGTTTTTTTGTAGGTCAAACAGGGCTAATAACACCTTCCTGTCCTACTTTATGGGGGTGTTTTTGAGGCTCAATGGAAATAATGGATGAGGAGGCGCTTTGAAAAGTATAAAGCCACTAGACAAATGGCAGGGATTAATCTGTTTCCAAGGTGGGAAGGGGCTACTGGGAAGTAAAGCTTAAAAGAAATCCTGTACTCTCCTAAATTCATTGCACTGAATTCCATCTTCCTTGAATCACTGATCCTGCACCTTGCCAAGAGTCTCTGCTCTATGAAATATCGTCCTCTCTCAACAGTGCCCATGACACCTAGGTTAGGACGGCCTGGCCTTAAGCCAGGGAGATTGTTTGGGGGACTTGAGTGGAACCAGTGGGGCAGTCTTGGCTCTGGGTCTCTAATTCCTGGGAACACCAGCATTATCCTCCCACCTGAGCCCACCTAAGTCCATGACTGCATGTGTCTGGGTAGAAACCACCTGAGGCTCCCAGAGATACCCCTTCAGGAAGCACAAGACTCATCATGTCAGGTAGTAGAAGGTGGCCTTGAAGGTGGATGCTCTATTTTTTTGGAAGCTAGGGGTTCTGGGTTGGGCCCAGCTAGCTGAGATCTACAACAAAACTAGTGGAGCCTCTGGAAAGGTCTCTAGCTTGCTCTGATCCTTTCTGCAAGCCACCCAAAACTGATCTATAACCTTAAATTACAGTATCATTCTTGCTATGCAAATGCAGCTTCAAGACAAATCCCCAAATTACCAGAACTCTTCCCTACCCTTTCCTACCCACTAGCCTCCTTCCTTTCTTTTCCCCTCCCCATCAGATCATAACCCTGAAGTCCCTTTGATATAAAAAAATGCTAGAGCTCATGCAAAACAGGGAGGGCTCAGGAGACTGGGCACCATGGCCAGCCAAGTCCAAAGCTGCACTGCACAGCTCTGGAGCTGTACTAAAATGGTAGTCAGAGGCAGCGACAGAAAGAAGTCCAGCTGTGGGCCAGGGCACCTTCAGCCAGCAGGTCCCTGGGGGAAGTGCAGAACAGACAGACTCCACACCCAGCCTCCCTTGGCAATGTCAGAGACCATTCATCTTGCAGCCGAGGCTCCTCTCGATGTCTTCATAGATTCCCTTGTTGCATCCATCTCGCGCAGACTGCTTCTTTTAATAAAGTGCCCCTGCGGCCACTCCAGACAGCCTGATGTTATCCTTCACTCTCCTGCCCTTTCTTCCCAGTGTGGGCCACACAGCAGTGATTGAGGCCTCGCAGGTTATAGTACAGTCTCCTGGGGAAATGCTTCCTATGCACGCTCCAGCCATGGCATAATGAAAGCATTGGGTGTGGGTGTATTAAATACCCCTTCCTTGTCCCATCAGGGCCCTGGATTCAGAGTCTCACCCTGAATTCCAATGCCCACCTTATCCTGCATCTTCTTCCCTGGGCCAGCTTCTGCTGGTGTCCCTCAGCTATATAACTCGAGTCCAATTTGCAAAGCTTTTCTCTCAGTGATTGTCAATAAATTCCCCATCTCTATCCCCTTGAAAGACCAGATAGCTTCAAGCTCCAAAGGAATGAATCACTGACGGTGAAATTTCAGGCACAATGACAGGCAATTGAGGAAACATATTTGATCATATCATGTTTACCTATGTGTAAGGCTGGCCCTGGGGATATTCTGGCATTTTCCCTTGGCTATATTGAAGACTTGGAATAATAGCAAAGAAAGTAATCGACAATACATCAGGCTGGGAGTAGGGACCTGGTGGCTGAAGGTGCCCAGGCCTACAGCTGGGCTTCTTTATGTCGCTTTCCTGCTTTTCCCAGTTCTGGCACTAATTATATGTAAGGCCTATACTTTCCCTTTCTAGGCCTTGGTTACCCATATGTCAATAGAGAACACTGGATTAGCTGATTTCCAGGGTCCTTTCCTGTTCTAATAGGCTCATATTCTATAAGACACTGAAACAGGTTGATGTTTCCTCCAGAATGGACCTTCATTCCAGGACACTGGGCATGGCACTATGTAAGCACAGGAGTTAGAAGGGTATGAAAGGTTGGCACTATGGGCATGAGCCTGGTGCTGCTATTCAACAATTGTAGTCAGTGCCTGACCCACCTTTGCTAGAGAACAACTGGGAGAGTTGGTCATTGTCCCTCATCCCATCTTGCAGGCAGGACTCCTCAGGTGCCCAGCGGTTAACTCTCTACTTGCAAATTCCCTATCCCCTCCAGGACTGATTCCATCTGTCCCAGGATCAGGCCTGACATTCCACCAGTGAACACCTGTGCCACCATCACACTTATTCAGAGCTGACATTCCTGACTTGGTTATCAGTAAACAGCTGCTAACCCAAGACTCCCGGAGTGCCCTCCAACTGTCCCCAGTGCCTTCTAATCCAGCAACCAAAGGGTTAATGCCTGGCCCTGCAGGGGCCCTCCAGGACACTGCTCTAGTTCTAAGGCCATTTCTTCCCAGGCCATTTCTCCCTGAGGATTTGACTAGGACTTTCTGAATTGATCTATGCCTCGGAGCCAGGTGGGCCCTGATTATTTCATACAAGGAAGGAAAAGAAGACAGCAGGGGATGGGCACTGGCTCTGTAGTTAGCAGCAGCTTCCCTGTGACCCTTTGCCCTGCAGTCCAGATCCAGTTGACAGAGGATGGCACCACTCTTATCTGGCCAGGGCACTGATTCTGTACCCCCCACTGGTTTTCTCTACCAAGGGCTGTCAGGTGCTTAGTCCGGCTCCCCAGGATCATGGAGGATACTTACCACCATTTTCTTTCTCTCCTTCATGGCGGACCCCTTCCCATCTTCTCTTAGCCAAAGCAATCCTCCCTAGCATTGAAAACCCCCCTCACTTGGTCCCTGTTTTCCTCTCTCTGCTATTCTACTTCCTTTTTCCTGCCAAGGCCTAACTGCTCCAATGGGTGCTTTGCCCCTGCGGTGTGAATGTTCTGTTCTCGCTGGGCCCTGTATTAATTTGCTCTCATTTGTGAGCTGCTTTGTTAACATGCATGGCCTTTTCTTGATGTGTAGTGCTCCCTGCTGCCTCTGTTACCTCCCCACCCACACCCTCCTTAACCTTGTAATAACGGGCCCTCCCCTGTGGAGAGGGGGTTGGGCTTTTTCAAAGCCCTTTCTTCTACAGGCTTTAGTTGTTCAGTACATCCTCACAACTGCCATTAAAAAAGGCAGGTGTGATTACTGACTGCTGTGGGATGGGTGAGAAAACCAGGGCTCAGGGAAGTGAAAAGGTCCATTTGTGCGGATAGATACTGTGTGATGGCCGAGCAGGCCTAGAACGACAGGTCTTTCCCATAGTACCCACATGCTCATGGCACTCCTCTTTGGCACCACCCTTTAAGGCCCCAATCAAGTCCTGAGAAAAATGCATGAATGCACACATACCCATATGAAATTTTGTTTATAACTCTGAGGGTCAAGTCCCTGCACTGGTATGTTTTAAAAGTTGCTCAGGTGATTCTAATGTGCAGCCAGGAGTGAGAACCACTGCTTGAAAGGAAGAGGTAAAAATAATAGGTGAAAGCATAAAAGCTTTAGCAGCTGAGAACTTTCTTAAAAGTCTTGGGCGTCTCCCATAGGAATTGAAGGTAGAGTAGGATGTGAACTCTGCCTCAGTTTCCTCCTTTTTGCCTGAAGGAAATCACTCTGAAGACCTCCTCAGCCCATCCCAGCCCCAGACTGTCTTTGTAAATCAGTCAGCACTGGGTTTGCTGTGTGAAGGGAGTATAAAGAAAGAAATGGCCCTAGCTGGTTTGGCTCAGTGGGCAGAGCGTCAGATTGTGGACTGAAGGGTCCCCGGTTCGACTGAGATCAAGAGCACATGCCCAGGGTTTGCGGGCTGGATCCCCAGTAGGGGGCGTGAAGGAGGCAGCCAATCAATGATTCTCTCTCATCATTGATGTTTCTATCTCTCTCTCCCTCTCCCTTTCTCTCTGAAATCAATAAAAATATATAGGAAGGGAGGGAGGGAGGGAGGGAGGGAGGGAAGAAAGGAAGGAAGGAAGGAAGGAAGGAAGGAAGGAAGGAAGGAAGGAAGGAAGGAAGGAAGGAAGGAAGGAACCGCACTCCCCATATATACATGCTGGCCAATTGCTTTGTGCTGTTTTCAGTATCTTCTGCTGGCAAAGGTGGAGCAAATTTCCCTGAATAAGGAATGAAATAAGGCATGGGGTCTCTCTGGAGGTGAAGGATAGAGACTTTCATGCCAGTCATCTAGAAAGAGATGCTGCTCGGGTAAGAGACTGGAACATAATGATCATCTTAATAGCTATCATGTGTTAATCACTTACTGTGTGACAGGCATTTCACTTCTGTGACCTCATTAATCCTCATACTCTCTGAAGTAGGTATTAATAGTATCCCTATTTTATATACAATATTAGGAAACTGAGGCTCAAGAGATGAAGTTATTTATGCAAAGGTCTCTGAGCTAACAAGTCAATGTATCTTATTTGGCTTGCAGAGTGTTTTCAATTAAAAAAATTCATTGCTAACATTTAAAAATCCTTTGATTTCATGTGAGAATCAGGATTTCTGGCTTCTCTTAAAAAATCCTAGCTGGCAACCCTGAATGTGATTTCATGTAGGGCAAGGCAAAAGTCCAAGACACTGTATCCCCAGTGTCTGAGACAAGAATAGGTACTCTGTCAATGATGGTTGAATGAACTGGGAGAAGGGGTTGTGGGGAAGAGAAAGGTTCAAGAGGAAATTCTAACAGCTACATTTTCTGGGGCTCCTGGCTACCAGCAGACCTCCCAAGTCTGCTTCTGTGTGGCCCCCAAGTTCTTTAAACTAACATCACAAATTATCTCTTCCTCTCCTACGCTTATTATAAGGCTCACCTGTAACATAGCTGGGTGTGACTATCTTTGGAGCCTTTCAGTATGCCCTTGTGCCTTTGAACAACCCTTCACTGTGATAGATCCATGAACTTCCATCCCTCAGGCTGTTCTGGGGACCCCCCAAAGCATTGACCATTCCCTGAGGGATCCCTACTGAGCATCAAAACTGAGATGTTTTGTGTCCCCATTTCCTTTAGGCCCTGCTTTCTCACTAGGTCTTTCTTCCCAGGCAATATACTTGAATCTCCTATGCCTCCATCCAAAGTGTATTTCCAGCACTGGGAGGCTAGCTGTGGAGCTATTTCTGTGTGAGTGGGGTTCCAGTGCCCCTTCAGTCACACCCCATAGCTTGTTCCCTAACTCAGGAGGGGATTTTTCTCACTGTGTTATAAGACTTGTCTTTTATGAGAGAGTAGGCTAACTCAGCTAGGGTGAAATTTATATAATTGCCACCCTCCATTAACAATAATGCAAGGTAACTATGGAAGTCCCCCAGCCCTGCTCAGCAGTATTCTTCGTCTTACTCCCACCAGTGTGGTCCATGTCACCATCTCTTACCCTAATGCAACTTCCCTGTTCTGTTTCCCAAGTATGTCAAACTTGCGACAAGCTTGCTGTAGACAACCTGAGTTCTTTTGCCAGGAGCAACCTGCCTGAATGCAAAAACAACTTGAGAGCCATTAATGGGAAAGAGCATCTTTCAGAAAATCCACATGATTCTAAAGCATTAACGGAGCCTTTTGCGATCTTACCTCAGGAGGAGCTAGTCTCATAAGCTGGCACTGGACCAAGGACTGCTAGGCACAGCAGCCCTCCAACACTGAGAACACATGCCCTGGGACCCAGGATGTGCCAGAAGAGCCAGGTGAGATCTAAGGAGCAGTAAGAATACCCAGGATGCAAACTCCCATAGAGTGCCAATCCCAATGCCATATGGGTGTGCGCGCACACACACACAGACACACACACACACACACACACACACACACACACAGATCCAGAAACACAGGCGGGGCCACATGTTGGCACAAAAACACCACCCACACTCTTGCTATAAGACCCACATGTGATTTGCCAACAAATTGCAAATTAACCTCCTAGTGAACAGATTAATGGTATTCATGGTAATTTACACTCCAAGTTTCATAGCAACAGACTTTGAGCATTCTGGTTGCATAAGAATTCAAGGATTTTCAAGTTCCTGGAGACATTGTAGTAATTAACCTGATAAGCCTATGCAAATAAGCCCCAATATGACACTGTCATTTCTGAATCCAATATCCAGGGCATTTGCCCAGAAGGTTGCCCGCCACTGCTCCAGCTCCTTGGCTTGAGATGCTAAGCTGACAGATGCCAGTCTGCATTTGTCTATGCAAATGAGGCCCCAGAGCAGAACTCCCCATCAGATCCAGAAAGGGACTTGACAGTTACAAATTGTCCACTTACATGTTGACCAGAATGGAGTCAAGGCTTCCAAGACAAATGGGGAGAGGGCCCCAACCAATTTGCCCAGGACTGACAAAGCTATCTTTTTAAGAGCCTTGGTTTCAGGACAAAAATTCCTGACTTGCACAAGAGTTTGAGCTTTCCACCTGAAGGTCAGGAAGAAGCCTCCTTGTAGCATGTTGCCAAGTACCACTAGAGTTTTTGTCTTTCCAGAAAGATCAGCTTCCTAAAATAAAATCGAGAGCTGGGGTTCCCTGTTTCTTCCCTGGGTGGGTGAAGTTTAATTGGCTCTATTTCCAATTTGCAACAACAACAACAACAACAACAAAAATCACAGAATGTACTCAATTCCCTCATCAAATCAATCGGCCTATGGGCACAGCTTGTGTGCTTTTTCCATGGGTGGACAGGTTTCTGGGCAATGTTTATCCTTGGGGGTGGCCACTCCTCTCCACCTCACCCCTACTTGGAGCTCCATCGTTGACCTCCTTATTGTTTGATCTCTTGAACTGCCAGGGCTCACTGAATCCCATGGTTAATCTGCCTTGTGCTTCCTGCTTTGCAGAGGACAATAATGAAGTGCCAGGGAGGAGAGTATCATTGCTCACTGGCCCCACCCACTGCTGCTCCCAGCTTGGCTCTCCCTAATGCCTCAGCTGGTTGCTCTTGGTATTGCAGACCCAACCTACTATTAATGGGCTACCATCAGGAACTCAGAATTCTCCAGAATGCAAGGCCAGACAGGGTGTTGATAGAAGCAGACTTACCTCTTGAAGAGCTAACACTTGGAAGCGATAAAAACTTGAAACTTATTCCAGGGCCATTTGGTAATAACTGTCTTTGTCTTCCTGAGCAACCTTTAGCTAAGTCGGGATTTGAGAAGCATTGGAAGGCCTCCTGTGCAGCTGCTGGCTTTCTCTCTGAATGCGTGAATTGAGCCATTCCGAGATGGTGCCTGTGGTCACTCTCTCTCTTGTTTACCTTCCCCTTCTCACCGCACCAATTACCCTACTCACCTAGCTGCCAACTCCTCTTCTTTGATCGCCAACAACATTTAGTGTCCACCATACTGGTCCCCACAACTGTGGGCCCAGAACCCTAGGGACTGCAGCATTATTGCAAGAGGGATGCACATGCATACATTTTGAAGGATTGCCTGCGGATAATACACAATAATGGGTTATTGTGGGTTATCCACACCATATCATCACCATCATTATCAATAATGCAAGATGATAATGAGAATGATAAGGAGGAGAAAGAGGAGGAGTAGAACAGCTTCTCTGTGAGGTGCATTTACTACATACAGGGCAGCTTACATGAGCTTGACATTCAATATCTCATTGACTGTAACATCCCTGTGAGCTTGGTACTATTAATAGCCACATTTTGCAGACAAAGACACTGAGGCAGAGGCTTAGCAACTTCCTCAAGATCACATAGGTAATATGTGTCAATGTCAGAAATCAAACCCTAACTGACAGATGCCAGAGAGTAGGCATGTAAGCACTATTCTAAAACATCTATGTATGTACCATTATTTACCAAATGTTAGGCAGATGCCATAACTATTAACAAAATTCATGTGTAAAACATCATACATTCACAATAGTTTGTGGTCATCATGTGTTTCTCAAGCAACAGATACTAAGAGTAAAATTGTTGTCAACAGGTGTCCAGAATATGGGTCCTTGGCTTTATCCAGATTGGAAACTCTGGGCATAGAGTACTCCCCCTTCACGTCCTCTCACTAATGAAGTCACTCATTCTCTTATCTCCTCATCTTCTGTTTTAGCTCAGAAGACCTGTATGTCTCTTTAGATAGGACTGGGGTAGGGGACCATGTATAAAGCTATTTGCATATTCAATCATTCCTTAAACAAATATTTGTTGAGCTACCACACTGGGGATACTGCAGTGAACAAAAGAGATAAAATTTTCTGTCCGGAGGGAGTTTGCATTCTAGTGATAAACAAATAAACTGGTAAAATTATATGCTATTTTAGAGAATGGTAAGTGCTTTAGAGAAAAATGAATCAAGGAATTAGGGATGATGGTTGCAATTTTAAATAGGGTGGTCAGGGAAGGCATCTGTGAAAAGGTGTCACTGAGCAAAGACCTGAAGGAAGGGAGAGACTGAGCCTCATAGCTATCTGGGAAGAGCCTCTCAGGCACAAGGAATAGCATGTGCGAAGGCCCAGGGAGGTCAGTGTTGGAACAGTTTGAGAATGTTTATGAATAGTTGTGTGTATAGAGGTGGATTCAGGAATGGGCTCTGTCATTAGATCTCCAACTGGCCTATGAGGGCCACCTTAACCTCACTGGTTTGCAGGACTAATTCTAGGCAAAATCGTAAGGCAAACATATATGTCTGCCACTTTTCAACCCCCTCACCCTTCCTTTTGCCTCCTTAGGAACCCATTTGCCCCATTCCCTAATTTAGGGCTTCTCCAGTGCTCTCTGCCAGCACAGCCAATTCCTCAGCCTAAAGAATAAAGAGCACAATTTGGGAATCCCACGCATCTGGGCTTGCCTCCTGGTTCTGCCTTTCTTTGGGTAAGCCACCTACGTCTTTGAGCCTCAGTTTCCTTAATTTTAAAATGGAGATAATCAGGTATTGGGGCAATTAAATGAGGTAATGCATGTAAATATAGTAAAAACGCTCAAGAAATGGTAGCTGATATTATTCATTCATACCCATTGTAAACTATAGAGAACAACCAGTGTGCCATGGGTCCCCTGAAAGGCAAAGATTTCTTGCAAGGAAAGTTCTTGAATATATCAATTGTGGGTTGTCAGTAGATAGAAAATGGGTACCTCCTCCAGGTGTGTTTGCATTAGCTATAAAGTGATGGGCTCTGAACAGTAGCATTGCCAGCTTCATTAAGTGGGTGGGAAATTTAACTGAAGCCCTGGATCTTCTGATCCAGTATGAGGAGGTGTTTTCATGGTCTCCTTCTCTCTTTACTCTGCTCCCATGGGAATGTTGGAGAAGTCAAAATCACCTTTCCAAACCCAGAGAGGGCAACTTCTAGGTTGAGGGGCCTAATGGCATATATCTTTTTCACTTTCACACAGCTCTAATTATCACCCTGCAGCTCATGTCACCCTCTCTTTCTGCACTCTGAGCAGACAACCTTGGCCAGCCTTTGAAAGTGGCCACTGAGAAGGTGTTTGTTGACAACCTCCAAGAAACCTTGCTGAGAGCTTCAGCCATGTACTAACCAGAGCTTGGGCATGTCAGCACCTTACCATACAGAAATAGTTGCATCCCTGACAAGTTTCTTGAAAATCAAATTTTCACATATCAAAGCCTATTTTCCATTTAACTTTTAACATAAAACTGGAGATATGTTTCTCTGAGGAGAAAAAATGGGGCCCTGAGATGTAATAAAAATCATGTTTATGAATGCAATGCAGTAATGCACTTGAAAATCACAAATATGAATGAAAAAAATGAGAATTTTCTTATAAAATATTAACAATGCCCCCAAATGAGCCTCAAGATCTGAATACAAAATAGCTAGTGTTATTTTGATGTTTGGCACAATAGCTTAAAGGCCTAAAAGAAAAAGAACTCCTTAACAGAACAGAACACACTGGACTGAAAAGTTCCCAAGCTTCTATAAAATTGCCTTTCTAATGTTCTATAGCAGGAGGTCATGCAACATTCTTTAAAGGCTCGAATCCTGAGCTCTAATCCTCTGGAGAAGCTTCTGGATTTAAGAAACAAACAGGTTGATCTGAGCCAGAGAACAGATGAAGAAGCACAGCTTAAATATGCCCCAGGAAATAAGTTAATTGGGGATGGGGGGATGGGAAGACATTCAGGTAAGACTTGAAACTTCTGAATAGTGAGGCTTTGGGCAACATATAATGCATCAGCCCCAAGTTTCTAAATGTTGCTTTGACTAATGCTTTTCTATGGAGTTTCTGGACAATGAGAAATTCTTATGAAGGGCTTTACAGTCTTAGTATAGTCATCCCTCAGTATCTCCTGGGAGACTGGGTCTAGGACCTCTTGCAGATACCAAAATTAGAAGATGCTCAAGTCTGTAGCCTATATGCAAATACTAAAAAATTGTGTAGTAATCACAAATAGGCTTCAGCAGTTGGGCCTACACATCACTTCATTCACATAGATTCAGCATAGTGCTTGGCACATAGCAAATTCAAGCTTGGCTTTTTGAACCTTTTGGGGATTTTAAAAATATTTTCAATCCACAGTTGGTTGAATCCACAGATGCAAAACCCACAGATTTGGAGGGTTGACTGTATTTCCTCAAAGTATGTTGCAGGGAACACTAATCCTAGAAAAGGCTCCATAGAGGGGTTCCATGGACAAAAAAGTTTTAGAAATGCCAAGTACTCTAAATCAGTGCTTCTCAAAATTTAATGTGAATACAAATTAACTGAGGAAGTTGTTACAAATGCCAATTCTGACTCAGAAAGTCTGGAGTGGAGGCTTGAGATTTTGCATTTCCAGCAAGCTCTCAGGTGATGCCTAGGCCTAGGCTGCCAATCCTCAGACCACACTTTGGGTGGCAAGGCTCTAAATGTGCTATTGAAGATTCATGATTCTCATTAGTATGGTGAGGGCTCTATGAAACCCTCTAGTAAAGTTGAGCTTATCTAACTCAGCATTTGTCAAATTCAATTGTACCCAGAAACCGTTTTCTCCCTTATGGTACCTATTAAACTCTCACATTCAGGGTACTGTGGAAACCAATTTGGGAAGTGATGCTCAAGCTGATACTACCCTACCTGGAGTAACTCTGCATCATCTGAGAAGTACACATTTTGGGTCATGGCCACAGACCTCATCTAGGGCTAGTTAATAGCTCCGTAGAGACAAAGGTATGCCAGGGCTGTGACCTGCCATTGGTTTTCAAAGACTCCAAGCTCAATAACAGCAAAATAACATAAAACTCTATTTACCAACCTGACTTACTCACCACTTTCCAAAGTGCTGTACAACCTTAATGTGACTTGAGCTAAAATGAAAGCAGGGAAAAATGAAGAGGCCTGGAGCAGAGAGGAGCAGGCATTTTTGAAAGAGGAGTGAAATGAGATGATGAGCTAATGACACTGAAAGTAGACAGGAGGTAAAGGACTCAGGTTAGTTGGGGAAAGGAGAAAGGCGGCATCAGTAAGAGATGGTAATGGGCATGGAAGTGCAATGAAGAGAGAAAAATACTCTATAAAATCTGATCTCAAAGAATGAGCAGGAAGAAAACACAAAGAAAATATTCATCTTGTTTATTTGGACTCTGTCTGTATAGGTCTCAGCTATCTATTTCCCCAAACTTTTGCTGTACAAGTTGTTTGACTGGGAGGCCCTCTCTGAGCAGATTTCTCATTCTCATGACATTGGCTGCCAAATGGAAAGGGTCTGGGTTGTCAGTTATTGTAGGAGGGCATCTGCTCACACCTATGGTGGCCTGTCACTCCAGCCCTTATCCCAGTGAGCAGATGGGTCCAGGAGAGCTCTCCAATTATCAGAAGCCAGTAACAGGCAGTGCCCCCTAAACTGAAAAAAAGTGAGAGATGGGAACCTCTGATGTGGGAGGCAGTGCAGCACAGGTGTTCAGGTTCTGGAGTCAGACAGAGGCTACACCCCAGCACTGCTACTCACTAGCTGTGAGGTCATGGGGTAAATTAGCCTGTATAAACCTGTTTTCCCCTCTCTAAAATAGGGTTAAGAATAGGATCTATTTTATAGCACATGGTGAAGAATGATTAGGGAGATCTTGATAAGGTGGTTAGGATAGTGCCTAAAACGTAATAGGATTTCAATAACTATTAACTGTATTAGTATTACAGTCATCCTCCCTTATCTGAGGGGAATATATTCTAAAACCTCTAGTGGATTCCTGAACTTGCAGATAGTACTGAACTCTATATATACAATGTCTTTCCTGCATATCTTTTCATTTAAAGGAAGCACTTTTGTGACTATGGCATATCTGAGTTGCCAGCATCACTACTCCTGCTTTTTGGGTGGTTATTAAGCAAAATAAGGGTTATTTGAACATAAATACTGTGATACCAGGACAAGTGATCTGATAACCGAGATGGCTACTAAGTGACTAATGGGCAGGTAGCATATACTGGACAAAGAGATGATTCATATCTCAAGTGGGATGGATCAGGATG